TTCCGGGTGTGGTGAAACCATGTGTCTTTTAGGGACTTAAGCACATCTATTAAAGCAGTGTGCGCATGGCGTATGCCCAATACTTTGGAAATTTCTTTATTCACAATATATAAGCTTCTTTATAGCTGTTTTGCTATGTGAATTTTCAATGATGTAACCAACTTTAGGTTACACTCATCATATTTTACAAAGCAGTCGGTATATCACTCGGATCATGTTATTCAGGGATTCACAACGCATATGCTACATATTAATATCAAGTCGCTTGGTTGACTATAATTATCAAAACCACTCGGTTGGTTGGATTATTTATTCCTTGACTATATGCTTGGTTTGTTCAATTAACCACATAGTCGGGGGCTACACCTATTAGGTGCATCTAGTCGATGCACCTGACTATATTTTTCAGCCCTCCACAGTCTTCAGATTTGGTAAAAGTACTCGGGAGACCATGGCGAAGATGATTGAAGCACTCGGCTTTGGAGTAATCTAGTTCGAGAGAAGGTTATCTTTTCGGCTGTGAAGGTCTCAGGGGCTACTGTGGAGATTATGGGTACCCCATACCCACACGACATGGTTATCCGACTAGTCTTAGGGGATAGCTTATATCTATGGAATATGTAACAGATCATGACTTGGGTATTACGTTTCCCTGTATATTATGGAACGGCCTAAAGTCCTGGTTTGATAAGATTGTAAAGTAGATTTAGGAAACCGATACCGTATTGGTTAAGGTTTCTATCTTGTACCCCTCCCCCCAACCTATATAAGGCGGGCAGGGAGCCCCCTCTAGGGGCATGAGACTACTAGATCGTCAGATCTATAATTCACCCGGGGATTCAAATTCCTAAACAGGAGTAGGGTATTACCTCTCGTTGAGAGGGCCTGAACCTGTCTAAACCTTTGTCTCCGCATCCATCCACTTTTAGGTCTCGTGCGCTACCCCTTTTCATATTGCCGAAAATTTGTTTCGACACAGTGTTTGGTACTAATCCTGTACTAAAATGTGCGAAAAAAGTGGTCTGCAGCTTCTCCTCCAGATGCTGACAAGAACATCCGTGGATCGATCTGCTCGGCCAACAAGCAGCTTCTCCTCCCCTCCATAGAAGCATGTCTCTGGATTGATCCTCCATACAAGCACACTCCTAGATTGATCTGTCGGGCCAACAAGGAGGTTGTTCCGCTGCTTGCCGATCTCAGTTGTTCAAGTGTAGGTTATTTCTCTCATCCTGCAGTAGGCATTCCAATTTCTTCACGATTCAATTATTAATTTCCAACCAATTTCAGTATCCTAGATCTGTCTGCTCTTTTTCCCCTCTACATCAGTTTGCATTAGCATACTATAATCACTCTCTTCAATTTCTTCACGGATTAATTAATTACTTTGATTTTGTCATGGGTTTAATTGTTATTGGATTGTACAACTATTGGGGGAAATTTCTTCGACGGTAATACATAACACTATAATCCTTTTTTATTGCCAATTATTCCATTTCTATATTATGCTCCTTTGTTTTTCCCCTTTTTAATTCATTTTGTAATCATTCAGGTTACCTTTGCATCTGTCAAACAGATTTATATTTTTATGTTGGTTTTTGTATTCGATAATGTAGCGCTGGAAACTCTTTTTATCCGCAGCGCATTTGTAAACATGCATGATCTATCTCGCTGACTTGGGGTAAACGATGACATAAAAATGACTGCAGATTATTCCCAATTTATCAAATGGTTGGTGATCCTTTAGTCAGCCCTGTGATTACACACGCAACTGTGTGATTCAGTGAAGTAATGATTGGGATGGATTTTTTTTAGGCAAAATTTGCTACAAGACACCGAAAGATTGCGGTCTTTGCTGTAAGACACCTGAAGATCGTGCATTTGCTTGTGGACATTGTAAAAAAGTGGTAATTAGCTACTGGATACTCCTCTCATTATTTTATTATTTCTGATTGAAAAGGAGAGAGAAACTTTGGTTAAAGACAAGTTTGCCCATGGGCCCACTTGTCAATCTATCTTTTTCTTCTTCTTCCTCTCTTTCTCCGTTCATCTCTTCCTCTTTTTCTCTGTCACGGCACACCGGGTAGAGCTCCACGGCGACGACGCAGGCGGGCGACAGCGAGGTGACGAGGTCGACGAGGTGGGCGGCGGCCATCTCGCCGCTCACCTCGGCGGATATCGCGGCTGTTCTAGGCGAGCCACCGTCCCAGCGTCTGGTTCTATCCGGGTCCTGCATGAGAGGGGCCCTCAGATCGCCGTCGTCGACGCTGTCGTTCCTCACCACCGCGTCCAGGGCAGTGACGATGTCGCCGTGCGTCGTTGCCGTCGACAGTGAACCCCGGTGATGTGCCGCCGCTGCCGTCCCAACTCAGGCCGGCCGCCATCGCGACTTTGCTCCACTGCGAGGAAGAAGAAGGGGAAAAGAAAAAGACGAGAGAGAGGAAGAACAGTATCCAAGAGTATTTTGGTACTTACACAACTCTTTCTCTCTCCTTTTCGACTAGAAATAATAAAGTAATGGAAGAAGTGTCCAGCAGCTAATTATCACATTTTTACAGTGTCCACGAGCAAATAAACGATCTTCAGGTGTCTCACAGCAAATGCCACAATCTTTCATTAATATAAAATATTTAAATACAAATGAAATGATTAAATATAAAAACGTATGCTAATTTAATTAGCTGCTATTTTCAGCATGACTTAATTAATGGCTAATTGTTTTCTCACTAGTTATATTTTCATTTGACCAAAACTAACCATAATCGAACTATTCAGTTGAAATGTAGAGAGTTCTATTTACTAACATCAAGATTTAATTCCCATGCATCGTCTTACTTGTAGAGTATAAAGAGCTATAAAAAGGTTGATATGATTAATTGGAATTAAATACATGTTTAGAATAAATTAACCAAGTTTACGACACAAATTAGTTAATTTAATTCTAAACCTTTTTTTTTCAATATAAACATGGTGAAAAACATGTTCACCCGCCGATTTATGCCCGTACGTACACAATCTCCACATAAGCATCTTACCAAAGCAAACGATCTCTCATGTACTCCAGCTCTGAAGACCACGGAGAAACACACTGTCGATGATGATCAGCGCAGGCGCCGGACCGGAAGCCGACTCTACCGTGGGCGACGTACGTCGTAAATTAAGCACCTCGACCGCGAGCTTCGATCTTGCACTCGTCGGAGCCCCAGGAGATGGCGGTGTACGTGGACGACCTCCTCGGGTCGAACAAAGCGATGGTGGTGGTGGTCCGTCGTTAGGAGCGGAGCTAGAATAAAATGAAGTAAGTTCCACTCGCTTGCTTTACTCTGGTTTGAATCAAATTTAACTTGATACGAGTGTCTAAATTTAAACTGACAGGGTATATATATGATGAAAATAAATAAACTATAGGTAATTTTTTTTAACTGGATTCCTAGGCACCTCTTAGCTATTCTAGCTCCGCCCCTAGTCGTCGTCGTCCTTGCCACGTGGGTAGTGCCGTTGTCAAATGGCGCGCACTCCAACCATGGCATGTCCTGGCGGGGGTCGATGATGACGCGACCTGCTCGACGGCCGGCGTGCAGATGGACACCGTCACGACGTACTCCAGCAGCGAGTCGGGGGCTTCTCCCCGAACTGGTGCGCCGGGATGCTCACGTTGCTACCGTGTTCCTCCTTGCTCATCACGCCGACAACGTCGCGCGCGCGGGCACGGCTGCGGCTACGGCGAAGCGTCTCGGGCTCTCGGCGAAAGACGGCGACGGGCGGGGCGCACCGCACACGGGCCGTGCCGGTGAACCAGCGGCATGATGGCGCGGTTTGACCCCGGCGGCGGGGACGGCGGCGCTGAAACGTTGATGCAACATCTCAATTTTGCATAAGAATCACATGTTTGGTTCCAAGATCAGTTTTTTATAACTCTCAGGGTTTGCAATCTCGAATTTAGGTTATTTGCCCGGGCCCCCGAAAGAACCGAAATTTTGGAAATTTCTTGGCCGAAATTATTTGAGAATTTAACGAATTTTAAATGAATTTGAATAAATTTTGGACAAATTCAAAAGGAAGGGGAAAAAACAAAATTTCGGACTAGATTTGTGATTGCCGGTGAGGGTGAAATTTCGGAAATTTTGTTTCGAAATTGCAATCACTGGTACCTCGTGTGGATGGGAAGCATGCATCTTGTGGCTCAAAAGAGGTGGTTGGCACGACAACAAAGCCGTGCACGTCGTCGTCACCTGCTAGCTACAACAGCATTGGAAATGTAGCTGCTGCATAGGATCAGGAAGCAAAAGAAAAGAGAAGCCATGGACGATGCAATTGGCGTAAGATGTGCTAGGAGAAGAATAAAGTGTGTATACATGATTTCAGATTTATGGACCCGCCATGTAAAATTGGAAATCTATCGACGTACGATTAATGGCGAGAAATGCGAGAGAAAGAATGGTAAGATATACGGAGTATATGGAGAAGATCTCTTCCCGTCTTTTCACTCGATTGTGTCGGGTGAAGATTCCCTGATTTGAACATCATTTGGTGAAATCACAACACTTTACTTCTTTCCTACCGTCAGAATTATAAACCACTTTTGCTCATGTTAAAATCCTACTGGGGAATTAAACCACTATCCCTGGAATTGACGACTACACACTACTGGAGAAACCATCTTTACCCGGTCGAGCAAAAACCACAATAGTCCCGGTTCAAAAGGTTAGAGCTACTTTTTTATCTTTAGTTGTGGTTGGTGTTCATTTTTAATCCCGGTTAAAAGAACAACAGGCGGTGCCAACCCCTCTATTATCTTTAGTCCCGATTGATGTAACTAACCGAGAAAAAAGATCGGCATGCGCGGCGGAGAGGCCAAAGCGTGCGCAAAATCGAGGAGGAGGAGACGGGATCAGTTAATAAGTTTTATCTCCTCAACCCTCACCTTATCTCTTCCTCTTCCTCCTTGTAACACCCCAGGTAACCACGTACCTAGAATGCCACACCAAAATACACTCAAAAACTAAGTCCCAAAATTATTAGAAATTTCGGCAGAATCTACCCTAAAAATACGGACATCCACGACAGGCAGTTATAAGAAAAGTCAATACCGATATAATCCACAATCCTAGCTCCACAAACCCCACGTGAAAAAATAAGAATCAGAACCTTAAATGACCTTTACAAGTTCTATGCAAAACTTATGCTGAGCAAAAAAATATATATATATATAGTCTAAAACTAAATTTTAGTTGTGTGCAATGATAATGTGTAGTCCAAGGGTGCTACTCCCGCCCCATACCGATCAATGTTATTAGGTACCTAAAAACCAAATTAAACACAAGAGTGAGTAAAAAATACTCAGCAAGTACAATATTGAACTAGTAAAACATACACAGGATTTAAACAATAAGAAACCAATATGAAGGGTTGGATTTACTTTATTTTAAACCAAAGAAGTCAAAAGATAGTAGTTCCCTCCCGGGCAAGTATGAATATCCTCTTAGCATTACCGGTAAGCCGAGCAAGCGTGATCAGCGCTTCTCAAGGATCATGAATAAAGACCCAAATTGCACTTTCATGGCTACGCATGGTTCTTGAATAATGTAAACAGAACATCCGGAATAATGAAACATGAATAACGTCATGAATTTGAATATGGGTCGAAACACGAATAAGTAGCATAAGGTCAGAGCCATACAATCAGTAATATCAAGCAATTGAATAATAATTATGCAAGTAAAGCCAAACAAGACAACTCAGTTTGTCCATCACATAAGTCCGTCTTGTATTTGCCTTAACTCCTTCGATACTCCGACTCAACTCCTCCAACGTTGGAACCCTCTACACCTGTGAAGCAAAACTACGCATAAACCACTATATTCAACTAACGATGGTTACAATGGATATTTACTAGAATCGAAACCTAGAACATATAAACCTTTTACAGATCTGTATTAAATAACCTATAGCTGTTCCATTATTGTTTTATGCGTAACTCACAAACCGTCTAACGGAAACTAGCAAATAATACAACTTCGGACATCTAGACAAAATTGTCTACAACTTTCATGTTGAGCACAAAATCAGATTATGCCTCTGAAAATCCCAGATTAAGGAAAACGAACTGCTGTCCTGATTTTCGGACCCGGTCAGCAGTACTGTTTTTGTTGTTCCTCCCAAACCGTTTATCGGAATTGAGTGAAACCAGTGCCGTTAGAAAGATATCGACGATGACTACAAACTTTATTTAGGACAACTAACCTGATTCCTGATGGTTTAATACCAGATTTGAAAATACAGTTTCCATCCCATAATCAATAATCTCAGAAATTGCACAAACTGCCAACGAATTAATTCCTATTCACATCTTTTACATCTAGAGACTAAAAGAAAGTTCCAATTGCAGAGGAGAAACACTACTTTGCAACAAATTTCACTAATTTGCGAAATCACTGAAATTTCCCAAAGTGGTTCTACCTTTTCCTTCCCTTGTTACTCCTGTTCAACTGCTTTCTCTGCTGTCTGGAGCCTTCTCGTCTCTGATCGATGCAACAGCAACAAGCCACGCTATAGCAGGAGCAGCAGCAGAAACGTGAGCATGCACAGGCAGCGGCACCAACAACAGAACAGATCCAATTGGCGGCAGCATTAGGGAAAACAGGAGCAGCAGGGAAGAAAAGCAGCAGCTCACCAAGGAGATGAGCGGATGGGGTGGCGAAGGACGACGACGGCTGAACCGGCGGCGGCGGCGCCGCCGGCGGCGACAGGAACAACAGTGGCGGCGGCAAAACGCAGGGGGTGACGCGGCTAGGGCTGCAGGAGCGATGCTCCTTTTTTTTTCTTTTTTTTTCGTTCGTTTTTTTTCTTTTTTGGTTGGTTATATAAAGAGACTAAAAAAAATATCTAACGGCCCACATCTATTCAATCCTCGGGACTTCGTTCGGACTCCGATTGCTATAAACTTATAGTCTATTTTGCACTACTCTGCGAGCTCTACGCATCCACGGTTCCTGATCACCTATTCGAATAACAGTTTAAAAAATTAAACTTTTGCGCGTTTGTGCTAATATTCCCTAGGACATTACACTCCTCCTCTCCTCATTCTCTTCCTCCCCTTTCCTCCCCATTCTCATGCGGCGACGCCCGGGCGGCGGCGGCGGCCGGGCGGAGGCGGAGGCGGCCTCACGCTGCGGCGGCGGATTCGGGAGGGGAGGCGGCTGGCCGCCGCCGGATCCGAAGGAGGAGGCGGCCAGCGTGGAGGCCGGTGAGGCGGCAGGCGGTGGAGGCCGGCGCTGCTGCTTAAGTTTTTTTTTCTTTTTTCCTTAATGTGTAATTCAATCTGTGTTGAATGTGTGATTCGATCTGTGTTGTTATTGTGAATGATTTGGGGATGAACTATTGTGTGAATGATTTGGGATGAACTATTGTTGGGAATGATTTGGGATGAACTATATTGTTGTGAATGATTTGGGATGAACTATATTGCTGTGAATGATGAATGTTTGATCTGAGATGATTTGGATAAATAGCAAAAGAATAGTGAAAAAGAAAGAAAAAAAAACCCTATAGCCGGTGTCGACGGGGGATACCCGTAGACCGGATATAGAGGGTATTGGGGTACGCTGGTATAATGATCTACGTAATACGACATCGAGCAATCAAAAGACAAGAGTTATATTGGTTCAGACCCCTTGATAGGTAATAGCCCTAATCCAGTTGATATGGGATTATATGGTGGAAAACACATATTACAAAGGAAAGGACGGAACTCAGGGGGTTTGGCGAGATTGTAGTCGAGATGATTCGGCTAGCTCTCGTCGACTTGACTCCTTGCAGGCTCCGGCTCCGACTTCGTAGGCTGTGTGGGTTGTGTTGGCTCTAAGATTTGATGATCTATGCCCTCCCCGGGGGGTCCCTTTTATACCGCAGGTTGGGTGCTGTCCGAGTAGGGCTCGAACATATCAAACCTGGCACGATACGTAGGTAACCCAATTCTTGTCAGAGAAGGTCTCTCCTTGTCGAAGAGTTTCCTTAGATTCCAAAAGATTTATCCGTGTACACGTGGACAGGCCTTGTCGATATGTGACGTATATCGAGGGGTAAAGGGTATGCCTGACCCGTAACCCTGACAGCCGGGACCACATCTTTAGTCCCGGTTGGTATCGATCTTTAGTTTCGAGTATTTAACCGGGACTAAAGATAGCGATCTTTAGTCCTAGTTGCATAACCGGGACAACAGATGGATGCCAACCGGCGGCAAAGATTGGTTGTGCAGCACTGACAGATCGAACGTCAACGAGACGACTATAAATTCGATTTTTTTTTATTTTTAATTTTTTTTATTAAAAGTTTTACAAAAATAATTTTTCATTTTGAAAATTGACAGAAGTGGTCGCCTACCGCCCTCTGGGAGGGCGATTTTTAAAAATCGCCATCCCAGAGGGCGGCGAAAGTGACGTGGCAGACGGCCGTTCGCTCTTGGGCGACGGCCGTCAACGAAATTTGCAGGCGGCTCCCTTGCCGCCCTCCGCTAGGGCGATTTTGTACTGTGCGGGGGGCCGCCTGCAAATGGGCGGCGGGGGGCCTGGAATTTTGCAGGCGGCCCCCTTGCCGCCCTGGGGGAGGGCGATTTTATACTGTGCTTTATATTTTTTTATAAATATCAATAGTTATCAAATCTTTTTATATTGAAAACTATACAAGATTAAAATCTCCAAGACTGGTAAAATACAATTTTATTATTTTTTAGGGCCTATTTGGAATGTTACCGTACAAATATTTTGTTAGTGCCAAAATATAAGCAAGTTTTGGCACTACCAAATATTTGGTAAAGTAAAATTGTATTTGATCATATTTGGTTTGCTGCCAAAATGTAAAATTGTAGTGAAGAATGTTCTACATAATCTCAAATCTAGATTACGTATTACCAATGAATAGGCTTCAATCGAAATCAAACACAAGTACTATTCAAATTACCAAAATATTGGTAGGGCATGTTTTTGGTAGCAATCCAAATAGGCCCTTAGTCTTACGCATACAAAAAATCACCACCATAATTAAACATTGTAATGATAAGATAGATAAGAAGTGCCATCGATACACGGTACAAATTTGTCGATCCCGACGAATCAAGCATGCGGTAACCTATCGGCCCCTTCTAGGTCGGTCAGAATGCATTGCATTCTCGTGGTCCTTCAATCGTTGATACTCTACTTGTGTTTCTGACTCTGTTATCTTCTGGCCATGATATGATGGAGTGACATTGTCGATCCATCGAGTAAATCCACACATCCTTGGATTGCCCTGTAAAAATAGTAATGTTATTCAGTTTGGGTAGTAATTTTGTGCAAATCATAGCGGATTTTGTAAATGGTTAGACATACAACGAAATCGTTGTCTACATTGGGGCAGACAAAATATCTCCTTCCAAATGTTTGTTCAGCAAAGGATGTAGCCACCTGGCAGCGATCTCTGCACCCACACTTTGGACGCTCGGACTATTTAGGTAACCGTAATGGATTGTTCCTCCAGTCTAAGCTTGCAATTTCCACCCGACGTTCGTACTCCATCCAAGGATGAATGAACTGTATGGTCGGTTCAGGTTGCGTTATCGGCCCATCACTTGAAGTAACTCTGACTGTGTCAATCCATTGTACGAATTGACATTTCCTTACATCCTCCTATGTACATCCATTTTGGGATAGTTAAGTTAATGATAGTACTGAGGAGTGATGAAAAGAATAGTTGTAATTACCACGAAATCATCGTCGACAATGTTTGGACACACGAAACACCTTTGTCCTCGAGTTCGGTGCCTTACGGACCTTATGACCTGACAACGGTCACCACAACGACACTCCGGACGCTCACGCCACGTGGGGAGTCCTAGGGGATTTACGTGCCATTCTAAAGCCTCAGCAGCAATTCGACGTTCATGCTCATCCTTCCGCCTTAGGTAGTCCGATCTTGTTTCACTACGTGGGTAAGCACGTGTTCCGTCGTTTTGTGGGTTCTCCATGTCTACCCACTCGATGAAGTTGCACATTGGACGATATGTCTGCGTAAGATGTTACAATTGTGTACGAAGAAGTTAGTTTTTTTATCCATTTGAACTTCGAATAGATGAAGCATACCTGATCAAAGTTCGCGCATTGGAAGAATCTCCTGCCCCGAGTTTGTATCATGAGGGAAGACTTGAGTATGCATCCATCCCCACAATCGCACAAAGGACGGTCACACCATGGTGGAAACCAACCAGCAAAAGGATCGCTTCGCCAGTTGAGACGCTCAAGGAATGGCGCTTCCATTTTCGTGTGTTGTGTGCTAGTGGGAAAGAAGATATGAAGAGGTTGCCTTCAGATTGTCAATTATATAGCGTCGTTTTCACTGCAATATATGTGAACTCAATGAGATACATTATTCATTAGATGTGACAAGACGATCACGCGTGGGCGTGATTCACTTTATGTCAACAGGGAGCGCCGAAAGTTGATAGTGACAACTCGAGCTGCCGCTTTTCATGTGTGCTGTTGTGGACTGTGCGCGCTACTGGATCTGACACTACCGTGAAGCGCCGAAAGTGTGTTGTCGCGAGCATAAGTTGTTCTAGCACCATATGAATGAAAAGAACTATGTAGACGAGACAAACACAAGTAGTACTGCAGTAGTAATAGCAAAAGTAGTACTGCTTTACAAGTTTGTAAGCCAAAAGAAACGGTCACATAAGGACTGAAGAGGTAGAACACTACTGACGAGGCCTCTTACCCCTGTCCCTCCTACCCTGCGCCCTAATGTGCCCCTGGGAGTACGTGAGTCGGTCCGGGGGTACGGCACGGCCAACCCGTCCTGCCTGTACAGGTGTGACCTCTGGCTGCTCCTGAGTGTGCGCCTCTGGAGCTCCTCCAACCTGAGAGGAGCCTAGTACGTCGTGGTGGTGTGCACCGTGCAAGTCGTCGTCGTAGAACTGGCTAGTAGGACCAGTCCTACCGGCGTGAGACGAAGAGGCCCCAGTACCGAAGATCCCGGCTGCAAATCCTACTGGACGAGGACCATCAGTTTCATACAGGTATTTAATAGTATTAATAAAAAGTAAAGTACCGTGTGGGCGAGGGATCGACGCTCCGTGAGAGGAAGAGCTGGCGAACGCGCCCGAAGAGGTGGCGAACGCCCCTGCGGAGCTCGCGGAAGCGCCGGTCGTGCCTGCGAACGCGCTCGAAGGCAGACGAGGTCCTGCGATGAGGAAACGTGCAGTTAAAACATGGTGACATATTCGTGCAAAAGCTGAAACAAAAATGAACTAATCTCTGGGCTGAACTGTACCGTGCGAAACCGGTGCTGTAGGTCGCACTGCTCCGAAGCTAGGGGCGCTCGAAGGCAAACGAGGTCCTGCGAGGATGGAACATCAAGTTACGACGGGGTGATGTTTTCGTACAAAAACAGAAACAAAACTTAAGAAACCTCTGGGCTGAGCAGTACCGTGCGAAACAGGTGCCGTAGGTCGAGGTCCTGCTCCGACGGTAGGCGCGCGAGGCCGTGGTTGTACCGGACCAGCTGGAGGTACGACGTCCACGGCGCTGCGACAGGAGAAGACGCGCATGACCACATGCATCTTCTCCTGCATCCGGTCGAAGGTCACCCTCTGCTCAACGTCAGTCAAGTGCAAACCTCTGTTCAACCTCACTTGGACTGCGGTGATATCGGCACTGATATCCCGTGCGGCATCAGCCTATGCAAGATGGAAATAAAAAATTCAGTAATTGTCCTATATTATGCAAGATAAATGAAATAATTGTAAGAACTAATACAAATTCGACGTACCCCCACGAAGTAGTCTCGGTCACAGTGCGTGGGATACGCGTCCGTGACAGT